GTCTTCTCTTCTTTAAGGTTAAGGTCATTTATCTGTAACACTTTTAGTTATTAGGTTGACAACACACGCGCCGCGAACCGATATTTTCTTTTCCGATTTTTTTACAATATCGATAGTCTGTATTCGATGTTTCATTTAATGTCAACATCGATGTTTTAAAGAATTTTCATTTTCGCATCCCTGATGCCAGTGTGCGTTGTCTGCATATATCCTTATATAATTTAACATCCGCGCGACCGTCATCCGCCGCGGCTTGTGTGTTATTCACCCAATAGACCGTCAGATAGTGACAGGTTTAGGAGCTCCATTTTCGCTTACAAGCCTCAAAAAGGGTTGGAAGGTACATCGATTTTAAGTAGAATGAATGGACATTTACGAATGGAAAATTCGATTTTCCCTATAAAAATGAAAGATTATTTTGTTTCCACTATATGATAAATTAATTGAACTAGGCTTCGGAAACCAAAGACGTTAATGTTGTAAGTGGCTAAAGGGTAGAAATAAGGGCGGAATCTTCTGAGGAAAATCGAGATTTTACCCCATTTTTCCACACAAGCCCATCGAATGTATGAAAACGTACATTGTCACTAGTCAGAAAAACATATTTTCTTGAATGACCCGAAAGTATAAGTGCATTTTGGGGTCGGAAAATTTTTCTGGAGAGGAAAATCGAATTTTCCATGAGTTATCCCCTAGAGCCTTTCGTAAATTTTCTTCTATTCTACTCAACATTGATGTACTTTTCAACCCTCTTCGAGGCTTGTATGCGAAAATAGGGTACCTAAATCGGTCACTATCTGACGGTCTATAATACGCGCCCACATTTGCACTGTCAACCCCATATTAATCATCTAAGATTAAATATAATTTTAGAGATAGGTAATTTAATCCCGAAATATTAAATTATCAGATTATTACTCTTTTTCTTGAAGCTAACAGAAATTTCATCTAGTCTACAGAAAATACAAATTCATCTTTTTCGATATAACAGTAATTTCATACTATACATGATTTATTATAAACTTTGCAAAAATCACTATAAAATCAAGTCTCAAAAAAATCGTCACGCACCTACCTATCACCTCGTTTGATTTCGCTAAAAATAATTTATCTTTCGCACAGCTCTGCTTAGACGAATCAATTTTTTTATTTTTATTTACAGAAACAGTCTGGGCGCTGATAACGATATTTACTTATAGTTAGGGAGCGTGATCTATATTTAAACATAGAAATAACAAATTGACAAAGTTTTTATATACATTTTTTAATTATCAAATTTTATAAAGAATAAATACAGATCAGTGAGTAGGTGTGTTAAATACCTTGTCATCTCCGTCGTACCCCAGGGGATCAATCTGGGTCCAGTCTTATTCGATGTTTTTTTCAATAACCGAGTCGCTACACTCGAGGTCTATTGTCAAATTGATAAAGTGATTGTCAAATACCTTTTTTTAATTTGATCAGTACCTATATTGGTGTATAAATAATAGTTTTTTGTTCAATTGAATTGAAACAAATCTAAGGCAATACGAGGGGAAATTGGTATCTAGTTCGGCGTTACACTTAATACTCAAAACTTATTTCTGAAAAGTTATTTATGAATAAATTTAATTAATATTTTTCTTCTCTGGTTTTTTGATCTGGAGTGTATTATTTAAAAAAATAACTAAAAAAATTAATAATAAATTGATTCGTCTAAAGGAGCATCTTTTTCGCTTTCAATTCCTTTTCAATAAAGTGTGTTGTAGCTTTTAGAATATAACATTGTTGCAAAAACTAACTAATTTTAATTAGGTACAATATTTTTTATTTTTTTTTTGTTTATATTCAACGAACGAACGCTCAAAAATATTTTCAAAACAACAAAGCACTTAAGTTGCACCAATTGTTAATATCCATTTGTTTTTGGTTTTTTTCAAAAAATTTTTCTCCAAAAGAACGGTTTACACTTTGTTCCAGCATTATTGTAAATAGTTGATGTGTAATTTTTTCAATGCGTGATATTTCTAAGTGGTTTCTGATAGATGATCCAAGTTTCTGAAAAAAAAAAAACAAAAATAATAAATGAAAATATGTAGAAATTAATGTATATTCTCGTACAATAGGTAAATAATTAATAGGCAAATGTACTACAAAGATTATCAAAATGAGACACTATATACAATTCCCAAAAATATTGCCATGACAGGGGCTTATTTCATAAAACTCCTTTGCAACTTTTCACTTTGCACTTTGCATATTTTAGTAAATTTATGTTTCATAAAAGAGAAATTTGACGAGTTAAAAAGTAAAATTTGAAAAGCAATAACGATATTATTTTATGAAACACAATTATTTTGCACTCTTAAATTTGCAAAGTGAATAGTTGCAAGGTAGTTTTATGAAATATGCCCCAGGTTCCTTTACATTGGAGTATTACCTAACGTTGTTGCCAAATTTGATCCTTATATAATAATTGTATTTCATGATAAATACTGTTTTTATTGTATTATAGAAGAAAGATCTCAAAATTAATAAAAACGGATCACTATTAAATTGAACAGACATTTACAAACATAAAAATTAAACTACCCGCAAGAAAGTTGGAACTATATTAAATAATTTTATTTTGAGATATTCATTGTAGTCCGATATCTTTGCCGTTATATTGTCCAACATATTATACTACAATGTCGATGTGGTTAGAAATTTTGACATATATCTCTCAAATGATTGAAACCACACTAGTATGCGTGAATGAAAGATTACTAGGAGTTTTATTTTTATACTATTATATACCTGCTCACCAGATGTACCATAAACGTACGAAACTTTTAAAAATGCCAAACATTCCATATTTCTATATCGCTTGCTAAAATATCTTTGGCGAAAATTAAAGATTTTATATTTAAAGTATGTATAGGAGAAATTGTTTAAAACATTTTCGCTTTAATTGAAATTAATCAAGTGCTTTCGCCGATTAAGGCATATTTTTATCAGGTTATGGGCCCAGGTACAAAGTGTAATTAGACATATTTTAAGAGGTTTCTAAAAAATAAACATTTGTTTTGAAATCTGATAACTGTTGACAAATCATTTCAAATTGACAAGTTTCCAAAAATGGAGAAATTATGTGGGTTTCAAAATGTTCAATCATGGAAAACTGTGGCGTATATATAAAATTGTTACTGGTGAAGAAAAATTCCAAAGTTCAATCCACCAAAACAGAACATACTAGTAAAATACTATAAGGCAGCAATAAAAGCCTTTAAAAAATGTGAAGATTGCCGCCACTATTGTTACTTTCTCTAAAGAGCGCTTATTTTATTTAATGCCAACTAAACCGTTACACTGATTCTTAGGACATGTGGAATGGCCTTCAATGATATTATTGATATAAAAAATAAGTATTCCTTACACGCCTTTATAAAATCTCTTATGGGTATCAAATGTGAAGCTGAACATGAGATTGTAAGTCATATTGCTAAATATAATGAACTCTGGTCACAATTAGTTGAAAGAACAGTAAAAGCGAAGTCAGCTTTACGTCCTCTAGCTGTTTCAACTAAAGCAATACGCTTTTTGACTTACAATTTACAATGATATTTATATGAGAGTTATGGAGTTAACCATATCTAATATATTTTCACCATCACATTCTGAAGACAATCAAGTTATTTATGAGAAATTCCTTGCAGGGGTCGTAAAAACAAGGAAAATATATTTCAAGAAGTTACTGTAGAGTCTATCAATGTAACTTTTGTTGTTTGGCATCGTCGCCTGGGACACTTTCCAATTAGTTAATTCAAAGTAATTAATGATGTACCTAGTGATTCGTAGGTTCTGCCTAAAGAAAGAATAACTATGATTGCGTAGCTATTCAAAATCTAAAATGACTAGAAAGATATCGAGAGACTCAGGTCCCACCAGTTGCACAAATATTTTAGAGAAAGTTCATTCTGATATAGGACCTTTTTCTAGTGAATCACTTGGTGGTAGACCACGCTATACATATATAAAATAAAAGAAAATGGAAAGAAACATGACTAAACATTTTCAAATTTGATAATGGTGGAGAATAATCTTCTAAAAATTTGCAAATATTTTTGAACTCGGGTGATTATGAAATAAAAAGATCCACGGAATAAATGGAATAGCTGAGAGATTAAATCGTACCATTGTTACAAGTCTAACCGAATGGTTTTTGGGCTAAAGCAGTGACACATGCGGTACACACACACAATAGATTGCCCTATGCTTTTACCAAGAAAACATGGTACGAATTATTTCATGACAAAAACAGATACATAATATTTGAGAACATTTGGGCAAAAACCTTACATGGAATAAAGTTATTTTATCGAGATATTTTAAATTTGCACCAAAAGAAGATTTTATTTTTATTCCACCTATAACGGAACAATAAAAAAAACTGCATTGAAAACCAAAATAATGACAATTAAAAAAATCAGGCGTAAATGTAAAACACCCTGTGGAGGAAAAAGAAATTGATAAAACTACAGATGAAGAGTACATGCCTTCAACTTCTCAACCCAGACGCAGCAATAGAGTTGTAAAGCCGTCATTCCTTCATGGTGATGAAAATTGCTGTAGATCAACCTGTCTGTTATTATAAAGAAACAATTGAATTTCATGCAGAAGCTACAAGTTTGGGACATAGTCGATTTACTAGAAGGAAAAAAGTAGCTAGGTATCGCTAAATCTTCAAAGCAAGATTATATGAAGATGGTGCACAACTAGCTCATAAATGAGTACTACGTTTACTTATCATCTGAAGAAGGGAGCGCAGTTTATAATCAAATTATACAACTATTACTCTAAAAATTTTTAAATTCTTATATCAAAAACTTTTCTCTAAACACTACAAGAATCAACATCACATGTAACATAAACCTCAAAGAAAGGGTGTGATATTCAAGAATCAGCGTTCACAATATATCATTTTTCAAATTTATTTATATCACTTTTCTCCATCTTCTTCGTATATTTACCTTTAACTGCTACGAGGACGGATTATGTCCCTTAGATATGGAATTGTTAGACTGCCGGGTTAGCGGCGGGTGTGACGGGGAATGCGCTGTCGCCATTGTAGAACAGAAGATCAACCTGGTATCTTCTGTCGGCGAATTTTCCAGCGGCGGTGGCGGGGGACAGATATACAGGGGCATCTCACTCACGTTGTCACCGCACATTTTCAATTTGTTCGAGTCCATTACGGGCATGTCGTTGCACGATTGTTTTTCCTTCATGATGTCGTCCAGCAGGAATAGTTGCGATTTAAGAAGGCGGGTTCGTTCGAGTTCCTTTGGAATACAAATAGTTTATTACAGTTAGAGAGTAATACACAAAAAATGTTTTTAAAGTAGGCCTTGACTGACAAAAACAGAGTTAGATGTCATGGTCGTCATAAGCCTCTGAATTAAATCCTTACTGCCGGTTAAAAAAAGAAGCATTGTCCACTCTGGCATTCCTAGGCTTGTTACAATAACAATCCTGGAACCATATATAAACCAGTCCACAACTTGTTGTCGACGACTGATAATCGACGACCTGTCAATGATTGGGACTCAGTTCGAAACTGGAATGTGTTGTCAATAACGCCAAAGTCAAAAAAATTTAACAAATTTTAAATTTTGAATTTAAAAAATAAACAAAATATGAAACATTAGAAGATTTATAAATTTTGATAATTCGATTGGTTAGTACATTAAACTTTATTTATTTTAATATTTTACTATATTTTAAAGTGCCTCATCTTCGTCACTAGAGTCAAAATAATAGACCTTTTCACTTTCTTAACTCATAACTCATTATTAATAAGTCAATAGGAGCTAAATTTGACCATTTGTTGAAAATATGTTATTATTTGTTTATTTTTACTAAGTAGGCACTAATTATTTTTAATATTTTCATCGTAAAATAAATAACGAAATAATTGTTAAGCAATACAAGCACTGGTTTTCTTTACAATCAGTATACTGTAACTTAAAGTGTTACATAATATGACGTATGTAGTATGGTTGAAAATATGGGTTTTCAATGTTTAAAAAAATATAGATGACGTCATATAAGGTACGGGGGTAAAAATTCGTTTTTTTTTAAAGAAACTAAAAATAAAAATCGAATGCCCGAGCTTTTTTTTCAAAAATAATTAAATTTTAAGACATTCCTTACTTTATGAATGCACTGTATAATCATCCTTGGATCGAGAGTATGATCGATTTCAAAACAAATATAATTACGAAATTTCCAGAGTTATAGCAGCGGTAGAAGTTGGAAAGGCTTTTGCCAGTTCTCCCACTTTATACACATACATTGCCAGGTTTGCGGTGGATCTAACCGAAGTGGATGCGATACATTGGCGTACAAAATTATTTTATAGATGTTAATAACAATTTTGAGTAAATAGTTTAATAAATTGTGAATAGCTGTTGAAATTTTGTAAAATTATGATTTGAATATTATAATACATGTTTAATAAATATTTATGGTCCATAAATACATGCAATTGTTCGTTTCGCCGGTAACAATTTAAAATTACTTATTCTATGAAACGACGTATGTAACAACCAGGAAGCCTAACGACCATTTTGCAACTACTGATAGGTCTTTAGCTATTGTTGTTAATATACTATTAAGGGATTAGGGCAGCGTTGTCACCAGCCAAAGGATCCTGGAGTCCTGAAGGAACATCCATTCGTCAGTGGCAAAAGAAAATAATAAAGAAAAAATAATAAAATACAAAAAAACATCCCTTAATAGCATATGTCGAGCGGTTCTTGGCAACTAGTTTTAGACCCTTTTAGTCCTAAGGGAATAGAAACGCCGAGGCTTCTCAAATGCTCGGAGTATTTTGCTGGTTTGGAAAGGGAGGAGATATTAATAATAAGTATTAAAACATTAACAAATGTATATTAACAATAAATATAAAACTTGACAAATAGTCTTCAGAAAAAATGAATAAAATTCCATTTAGGGAATAATGCACTATAACTAATAGTATTAAAGATATGCATAAAATATAATTCGGGACGAAAATGTAAAATTGGCATTTATATGTAAATCAATTAATCAATTATTATTAAACAAAATTACTGTAAAATTAAGTTAAAATATTTACCCATAAGTCACATCGTACACAAAAACTATACTATACACTTTACAATACAAAACCAGGGTTTCGCCCAAGGGGCGAAAGTTCTGGACCTTAGTCCGAACCCCGACTGAGAGTTTACCCAAGTGATCCTTTCTATATAAACCAAAATTTATGTGACTGTTGATTGTATTTAACAATGTCACGTTCAATGTAGATTAATAAATTGAAGGTTTGTTTCATTGTGTCTTTTTAATTATTTAATTTAAACATTAAATACTTGTTTAGAATTTTTGGTAAATTCTTTAGATTTTTTCAATTAATAATAATGCCAATTATTACACCCTCTCTCTACCTACCAAAAGCCTTTCCAACTTCTACTTGTGCTATAGTTGTAGTTTATTTACGCTCCCTTTCGTTTTGCGCATGTCTTGACAATTCGTTCCTATTTAGACAGTACAGAAACTGGTTTCTAATTAGGTTTGGGTGTGTTGGAACTCTAGGTTTTTGTACAGTTTTGAGTCCGAAGTTTGTTGGAATCTAAACTGCGTAGAATACCGACAGCACGTAAACCGATTTGTTATTGTGTTGGAACAAACCTCGTGGCCTACTTTGAAAATATTTTTTTGTGGATCATTCCATATTTACGTAACAAGTGAAATACAATTTTATTTTTAAGAATATGCTATGAGAACTGCCAAACTATCGCTTATTGTACTCTTTAGGCTGTAATATTAATATAGAGTTCTTTCATTTCAGAACCAGCCAGTCCAACCCTTTGGAGCCCGGCATCAAGTATGGTCAAGTAACACTTCATTTAAAAGGTAATTTTATAGATAATTCAGCAATATGATTTTTCATTGGGTTACTTTTGATTTTAGTGCCCTCTAGCCGGATAAAAACTGTTATGTATTGTTAATAAAATATAAGCTTAAATAATTGAAACATCGTTCAGAAATACAAACTTTGATCGCAATCAACAAAATCCATACATGAATACATAAAATATATAAATTATTGACCAAGCCTGTAGATGTCTTCTAGTGATTGTTCTACTTATTTTTCTTTTCTTAAAGATGACTTTTTTTAACAATATCTAATTACAAATCCTGTGGTTGACGGACTTCTTTTGTTTTTTTTTGTTTTTTTCATAACAATATCTTGTTCGAAATATTATATAAAAAAACGTATCATCAAACCTTATAGTGAATCAAATAGTGAATTGTTAGCTCAATTGTGTAGTCTTAAATAGTCTTTAGATGCTGGAAATAATAAAGGGTAATATAACGAGACCTTGATAAATAGTCGATTATTTTTATTGTTTTGTTTTGAGTGTTTATAATATCAATTTGTCGAGACATCATTTTGTCATTAATAATCTGAATAGAGTCGAGGACTCTATTCTTGGATTATTAATAATAAAATTATTATATTTTATAAAATTATTTTTAGAGCACTAAATGCAACTTAAATTAATAAATACAGAATAAAATAACTTATTTTCGGTTCATTTTGAAAATTTTTACGAGATATTAGTTTGTACTCTGATAATAAATATATTTGACAGTAGTCGTTATTAAACATTATTCCTATAATCAAGTATGCGAGATGCTGTCAACATAAGTGAATGTCAAGCACCAGGCATGGATCATGATTCGTAGACAACACGGTGGCCTCTTCAGTCCGTTGCCAAAGAAGGGTGTGACGTCACGGAATGAAAAATCGAACTGACAGTATTGGAGTATTTATAAAATCGGTAATTTGATTTTTGAAAGACACTACGAAAAGGGAAGGAAAAATAATGTAATGATTTTCATCAAATTTCAAATGAATTACTTTTAATTTGAATTATAAAGAGAAATGTTGTTGTGTGAATGGTTTATTTTAAACAAATTGGATTAGAGGGCGGCCTCCGAGCTAAATTCGGATCACACTTTGTTTATATCCCGAAATATTTTGAAATTTTGGCAAGCCTGGAGCTATTCGTAATGTTGCTGTTGGCAAACAATTTTTACTTCGTACACACAAAAATCGTTAAAAGAAATAAAATAACTGAAATTAAAGGCTAATTGTAAGATTTTGGAGTAGTTGTTTTGCAAATATCATTTACTATTATTAAATTAACTGCAGCTTTGTCCACCCTACATTTAAAAGTACTAGATGAGATGATTTCTTACAGACATTAAGAACAACCGAGAGCAAAAAAGTCGAAGGGTTTTACTAAAAGAACATATATTTTTGGGTTTACTACACAGGAAGTTCTTTGTAAAAAGTACATAGTTACAAATCATTTTAAAGAAGAAAACAAGGGCCTATTGGAGTTGATAAGAAATTTGCATTCACGATAAGATGTTTGAGTAAAAGTTGCTTAGAAATAGTCTAAATTATCTGTTGCTTGTGATTTCAACTTTACAAAAAAGCGCTACTAAAATAAATCTAAGATATGGTCTTTTGGATGATTTATTTAAATACTCAAGTATATGTGATGTTTAATCTCCTCTGTGTATCGTATATAGTATATATAAAAACAATAGATAAAACTATTTTTCTCTAATTTGATACCTATATTATAGATTATTATAATGAAACTGTGTGGTTTTTTTTAAGTAAATTATACTTTCATACATTAAATAAATAGAAACTGACAAAATATATTTTTTTTCAGATATTCACAAAACATACAATATATATTTATATCATATATTTCAAAACATACAATATATATTTATGTTTTCTTCCATAAAATTATTTTTCTACACCTGTATTATAATAATACATTTATATTCTCATAATCCGTTTCATAATGATTATGATACAGATTTTCCATAACGATACAGATTTTTAATCATTAGAAACCCATAATTTTTCAATCAAGCATGCTGTGCATTTGGCGTTTGTCCTAGGTTCTATGTTTTAGTTGTCAAAATCATATTTTCATTATATAATATAATTTATATCATTATATTTTCGTAGATAGCTAAACTTTGAAAATTATATTATCAAAATGTTTGATATCAGCGATATAGAAGACTTACCATCGACTCCTCCACACATATCGGAGAAAGCAGAAAATACAGTACAAAATATTTTGCCCCAAAAATCTAATACCAATACCCGAGGTAATACCATTAATTACAATTTTGTAGAATTTTTTATAGAAATACGAGTAATTACTGTTATTGTATTAAATACAAATATAAATATAATATTTATAGTTCTTGCATGATTATTTATCGGGTGTAGAAAAAATAGCGTATGCAACTCTCATGTAATGGTTATTACATGATCGTTATATAATATACTATTTTAACCACTTTTTACTAAAAACTTCCTGTAACAAACCCTTTTTTCAATAATGTAGGTTCTTTTAGTAAAGCCCTTTGACATTTATTTCTCTCCGTTGTGCGTTTATTGCCTGTAAGAAATCAACTCGTCTGCTTTTAAATGTAAGGTGGACAAAGCTGCAATTAATTTAATAATAGTGAATGATATTTACAGAATATTGATCTAAAATCTTACCATTAGCCTTTAATTTCAGTTTAGTCTCAGTCCCTTTATTTCTTCTAACCATTTTTGTGTGTAAAAAATAAAAATTGTTTGGCAACAGCAACCAGCAATACTACGGCTTGGCGCTCCAGGCTTGCCAAAATTTTAAAATATTTCGGATATAAACAAAGTGTGATACGAATTCAGCTCGGAAGCCGTACCCTAACCCAAAATGTTTAAAATAAACGATTCACACAATAATATTTCTCTTTATAATTCAAATAAAAAGTAATTCATTTGAAATTTGATGGAAATCATTACATGATTTTTCTTTCCTATTTGTAGCTCGTCTTTCAAAAAATCAAACTACCGATATTATAAAAACTTTAACACTAGAACAAAGTTCAAAAATAAAAATAAAAACACCACTAAATGACAATAGAATATTAGATTTTTTAAAAAACTAATGTATGACCCGAATTAGAATATTTTCTGTCGACTAACTTTTTCATTCCGTGACGTCACTGCGTCCTTAGCAACCGTAATGAGGCCACCGTGTTGTCTACGAACCGTGGGCATGGATAGTCTATTTGAAATAGTCAGTGAAAAATAGTCGATTTATTTGGTTCTAATTGGTTCTAACGATAACGTAAATTACGATGTAATTGGTTAAAATATCGAAGTTGACAGGCGAGGGAAATAATCGGTGTTATGGTAATTCAGATAACTTCGCTTAAAAATTTTTTCGTATTTTTGACTATTTTTACCTGTTGGTACGTGGAAAGATTTTTCGAAGACGACTTCTGGCTAACCGATCTTCTGGCAACGGGTGGTGACGACATTCTCTTGTTGGGAGAATAATCGCTGCTAAATCCGACGTCCGAACCCGACATATTGTCGTTGATTAGTCGCTCGCTCTCCGGATCGGTGTATCGATTGCTGCTGCTATCCGATTTCTTCAGGATCGATTTAGATCGCCTATGTAGCTCCAACTGAGGGCTGGTACGGCTGTCTATCGATTCTATGGAGAGGGAAGATGATTTGCTTCCACCATTTTTACCTTAACAAATAAACAATTGATTTAAGATTAACTTTGTTTTGAAAATACCCCTTATAGTCTTAATCACGATACAGTTACAATGATATATTCTTGCACATGAGTCATTCCATTTAAAATCGTCTAATTGGCAAAGCTGACCCATCTTAGATTTTGGTGTAACTTTGAAGAACTATTCTTTAGGGTCTCAAAGAAGATAATTTACACGAGTTTGATTTTTATAAGCACTCGTTTCCGCCTAGTTAAATAAAGACTTTAAAAAATCGACATTTTTAAGCCTTATCGACTTTTGAGTTGATTTTTGCTGTAAAAAACGACTTTTGCACATGCACTAAACATAAAAATAACAAAACAAGTGGTACGGTCATTTAAAGTTAGAGGTAAGAACAGTAGATTCTAAGAATTTCAGATTTTTATCTGGCAGTCAACACGTTCATTATATAACCTGAATAATGCAATTTTTGAAAATTTCAAAACTTCAAGCAAAGTTCTTTTTTGCAAAGAGTGGGCTGCTCAGGTTGACTTGTGGCTGTATTTTACCTATGATATATACACTTAATTCCTGAGGAACATAAGCTGCTAAGTCTAAGCAGTTAAGACGCTAGAGTCGATTAAAATTCACGAAAAATGATTAAAAAACACTCATTTTCAGCACGCTGCCGTTAATCAGAGGTATTGACTGAGCAAATTATCGATGCTTACACTTAAACTACTATCTTTCCCCCTCAGAATTCCGCTTTAATAATGTAGTTATCTTCAAAAAGAAAAATTTCAGAGGAAAAGTCGCTAAGGCTTAAAAATATCGATTTTTTTAAAGTCTTTATTTAAATAGGTGAAAAGGAGTGCTTATAAAAATCAAACTCGTGTAAATTTTCTTCTTTGGGACCCTAAGGAATAGTTCCTCAAAGTTACACCAAAATCTAAAATGGATCGGCAACAATTTTTTTTATTTTCAGACGATTTTGTATGGAATGACTCACATGTTAGTTCTATCCTTGTCACACGAGGGGACGTCACGTGGATTACAAATCAGACGCATCTGCATATACAGGGGTTTTAGAATAAAGTACTGTAAACAGGTTGACTTATAGATCTTAACTAACTAATAAGAGAAGCGTCCCAGTTTTCATTCTACAGGGTGGTAAAGTGAATTTCATAAATACATAATACTGAAAAATATCAAAAATGGAATGTTCTAGAGAGATCAACTAAGTGTCTCTTCTTGTTTTTGTAACAAATTGCATCTTAACTTTGTGAAATATAGGGTATTTAAAAAGTTTGGAATAAAATTGTTTTCTTAGCCCTTAATTCTACACCAGTGGGTTATCGTAATTTATCGAAATAGAGTGCGTTTACTAATAATAATTATTAACTAACATAAACATATTTTTAAGAGAAAGTCTTTACCGCAAGGAAAGATTTGGAAAATTGTGTATTTATTAAATTGGCTTTATCACCCTGTAAAAAAAAAAACTGGGACGTTTACAGGAAAATTATATTTAGCTTTTCTCAATTATTAGTTAAAATCTGTAAATCCCCAATTTACCATACTTTATTCTGAAACACCCTTTATAAATAACAGTAACGAGACGTTTTCGATAATAACAAACTGTATATCAGTGGTTTTTATGAAGTAAAAATAAAAAGAATAATGTATAAAAATAAATATTGCACAAATTTTATAACCACTAATTCATTTGTAGCAACTAAAACTAAAAGAAGACTTTATAGCGACAAAGTACATTGAGCTGAGACGAAGTCACTACATATTCAAAACGTTTAGTTCAAGTTAATTTCCGCCTGTTAACGTTCTCAAGAACCCCCGTAATTTTTATTTCTTAAAAATTCCCGTTTTTAAACATTTGCGAGAACCCCTGTACATTAAACGCTCAAATTCATGTAAATTATCTGGTCATTTTCGCAGATGTCAAAAAGGACGTTTTTTGAGTTCTCCGACTACTAAACCACTCGTAAACCGAACCTGTCCGATCGTTAAGTATAAAGCCGAGATGCTCCCGAATTATGCCTCTTTCCAGTACGAGTTTTTGAATTCAGTTATTTTAAACCATAATTTTTTATTTTCACCGTCCATGAGAAAACTGTATTAAACTAAGATTTATTTTATTGTTCTGATCGACGGTCGCTGTGTTGAATATTAGCAAAGAAATCATTTTTATAGACCGAACAAATTTATCTTTCCTAGTTCTGAATTGTGTATCGTTTTGCGATTTTTAAAGTTTCCGTAAGAGAAACGAGGCCAGTGATCTCAGAACGACTAAATTTCTCAACATCCACGGTATCCTGAGTCAATAGACCCGTCACTTCTTCGTTAATTAGTGAATCTTGAATTCACTCCAGACTCAGACCGTCAACCACGAGACAACTTTGCTCTCTTTTCTGTCACTGTATTAAACTGCATTCCTTTAAAAATAATTTTTTAAACCGAATACGACAATAAAAATAGATTAATCTTAGTCAAGTTAAAACTTTCCGAAAATCCGACCATAATCACTGGGCTAATACTGCTCGGCTGATCGACGCCGCAACTTTTTCCTGAATTTATCGTGAGAAAATATTGCTTTTGGATATTAATGCCGATTGAAATAAAAAGATTATTTTAGAATGAGAACAATTGTAACCGACCTACTAATTTTGTAAATATTTCCGTTACGTAAATTATACTGTAATTAACTTTCATTAGGAATACCTTAAATATAACCATATCATTGATTTGTTCTTTCTCTCAGCACAAAGCTTTATTGTTTCGAAAATTATTTAAAATTGCGGAATTAAGCTTTTTTTAATTTCCACGAAGCTTAAATTTGGTAAACATTTTCATGAGGTTAATTATTATCCTGCTAATTAACCTGGAGGTTTCACCGCTAATTAGAAATACTATGGATATATCCGTATTGCTGATTTATTTATTTTATTTATTTATTTCCACGAAGTTTTAATTGTCTAAACATTTTCATTAGGTTAATTATCCTGCTAATTAACCTGGGAGTTTTACTGCTAATTAGACATACTGTGGGTATATCCGTTTTGGTGGTTTATTTCTTTTAATTTTTATTTACTTTTATGAAATTTTAATTTTACATATGCATTATATTAATTATATTTATTCTCAACGACTTGAAGTGCGTTTATATTGCCTATTAAAGTTATTTAGTTTTCAAAAAAGTAGTTTATTTTGTCGTGTATTGTAAACTAATTATTTTTTGCTGATTTACAATGGAAAATAAGGACCAAAACAACATTATAACTAGGTTGTAAGTTTAACCAAAGTCAATATTCCCTCCTTTGAAATAAACTTTTAATAATAATGTATATATTGGCGACAATATGAAATTTTCGTAACATTATGCAACTGGTTGCGTAGGGTAGATCATTTTGACACTCAGGCCGATTTCAATAAATGTCACTTTATATATAAAAATTAGACAAACTACTTTTTATGATCTGCAAATAATAAATAATACCATTTAATAAAAACAATAAAAACATATATGTCAAATATTGTTAGAAGTATAGTTATAATTAACTGTCAGTGGAATCTGTCCGGTAGGTACTAGGTACTGTCCGACGCTGGGACAACTTCCCCAATGTATAACAAACAACGTAAAACAGTAATGAATAATTTAAACTATAAAAAATTCGAGTAAAACCATTGCATATTAAAAATACAAAAATACAAAAAGGAACTTAACTTTTTAATATTTTACAACCGCATATCTATGTAAATGCATCGTGGTCATAATCATAATCGATGTTAAATTATAAATTAAAAACAAAATAACAGTTTAATTACCGGGTTTCGATGCTAAATTTTGCAGTCCAAACAAATGCTGATTGATAATACGCGTTGCCGATGCTAAACCTCTTGATGACATAAATGACGATTTCTTCTTCTTTTCCAAGCTTTCTTGAGAATCATTATCGCCCATTTCACCTCTAGATTCGCCAAAACGAGTGCGTGGACGACCCTAGAATTTAATTTGGTTATTATTAGTTTAGATTTTTAACCGACTTCAAAAAAGGAGGAGGTTATCAATTCGTCGCGATATTTTTTTTTTTTATGTATGTTCAGCGATTATTCTTTAACACGGTGTCCGATTTCAATGATTCTTTTTTTGTTAGAAAGGGGGTACTTCAGGGGTGGTCCCATATACATTTGGTCAAAATCTAAAAATTGGGTCCATGAGAAAATCCTCAAACTCTTCATTTTTTATGTATGTTTAGCGATAATGCTTTACCACCTTGTCCGATTTATATGATTCTTTTTTTGTTAGTAAGGGGGTACCCCAGGGGTTATCCCATATAATTTTTAATTTACACTTGTGAATTATTCACGGTTATGTTAGACATTAAATTCGTTGATTTCTATAAATCTTCCAGAAATATGAGCATTGAATTTGTTTAAATAGTTTTATTGCTGTTCAGAGGACGGTAAAAATGTTAATCATTTGCACAAACCTCATATTGAACGGTACTCGGTAATTTATGATTCTTTAAGGCAGACAACGTTGTACCAATAATTGAATTGCGGTATTTTGTAAACATTAACCTTTCCTTACCTGAAACCTAGTCTTTCTATTTCTCGTATGAGGAGAATCGTTTAAACTAACTCTGCTTCCCCTCTCCAATAATCCAAAGCCTTTAAAGGTTTCGTCCATTGGTGAAGTCCCCAGACTTCTGAGGGCCGTGTCTCCAGAGGCAGATTTTTTGACACCACTCGGTCGCATCACGCCAGTCGGGATAACGGGACTGTTATCCCCACTTTTGTCCAGAGGGTTGACGTACAAGTTACTGTCGATAATGTTGGAATCTACTATATCGGAAGTGAGATCGCCTAAAAAGAGAAAAATTTTTATTGATATAATGCAAGACGAGAAAAATAAAACATGTAATTTCCTGACTTTTTTGCCTAGGGCTTCCACTCCCTAACCCCCTAATCTTCTAATCCGTGGTAAAAATTGCATACCTACATTTAATAATTTTGAGAGAAAACGAAATTAAGAAACAGTAAAGCAATTTATAAAATTCTGTAAATTACAAATTTTATGCACATTTTAAGAAAACCTTAAATTGGTAATTTTTTATAAAATAAACATGTTATTTATTGGTCATTAGTTATGCCAACTAACGGTCGTCTTACGATTCTATAAATAATTTCCTTGGTCACTTTAGTCATTAAATTTTTTCCTCAAAGCTTCTGATACAGTCTCTGTACTGGAATCCCGTAAAAAATTCAGTACTGATTTTTCTCGAGTGAAGTATATACAGGAGAGTCAGTAGAAGTTGGGTAGACATCACCATATTGTGGACAGGGTATTTAAGACGCCATTTTCAAAAATAGCCAACATTGATTTTATTTTGCATATATTTAAACAACTGCGACAATCATACTAATCCCTAGATAGCACACTGACGTCTCGGCGTCGTCATTTTTTGGTGATAATTATTCTCGGACGTCACATCACCTAAAAATACCACGTAATTTTTTTACGCTTTCGACAGATTGCCAACTTTCTGTCTCAAGCGGAAAAGTATCACTTATCGCTCTTAATACACAAATAGCTATTTTGCCGTCCTTCAAGAGAAAATGGGGAATTTTATATTTTTATGGTTGGACGCTGATAGACAAATAAGAGAAAGCAAAGAAGAGAAAATAAGAAAAAGTTGGGTTATGTTAATCTTTTAGTCTCAGTTTTATTGTTATTAGGTAAGATATTTCTTATGTTATGTAGTTTATAGCATACAAATTGTTATATTTTAGTGATTCCATACAGGTTGTAACTAGTAATACAATTTTTGGATAACTATGAGGGCGATCTGGTTTTAGTGCACCGTAAATGGTTAACACTTCGAATAAGAAAAGTTCATCAGACACCTTACAGGAAATTATGTCTATATAATCCTTTAACAATGGACATGAAAAACATTATTGCAATAATTATTTTTAAGTTTCTTCTGTAATTTTATTTCCATTATTCATGGTGTTTAATATTTAGTTTTAAATTTTTTTTATATGTTATTAATATATAATAAAAACTGTTTTTTATTATTATCTATATCTAGTAAAATTTCCTATAAGTCCCATAGAGCATTCTTTTATGTATAAGCACATCTAATGTCAGAGTAACCTTACAAATTGACGTCACTGGGCCGTGAGCTGGACGTCATTTTGATTTTGGTAAAAAATCACTTAACCAGCAAATGACGTCGCTGTAACGTCAGTGTGCTACCTGCGATCCTTTAGATGTTTAAATATATGTTTTTAAGGGGGGCAAGCAAATCGATAAGGATGCTATGTGAAGTTGCCTGACTGCCATTTAATAAAGAATTCGCTACTAAAAGCAGCACAGGACTCCTCTATTATACAGTGAGCACCATAAGTCTTACCCCCCCCCCCCTATCTAACTCATTACTGGAGTATTGTTAGGAAAATCGCCGAGACACGTCGATTTTTGTTTTCTACAATGTACATTTTTGTATGAATAGTTTACCCTTAATTTCATCCCTTACTGGAGGGGAGCAACCCTTTCGAAAAATTTAAATGGCATGGATTGGTGAGTGATAGCTCATTTGAAAGAGAGTTTTATTCTCTATTCAACCGTGTAAAAAATTTTGAAATTTGCTTCATTAATTCTCGACTAATTGTTGTTTCAGAATAACGGAAATTAACGTAGCGCCCTCATCCTTAGAATTAAAATTCGGCCCTGCATGATTTCGGTTTTGTTTCAGACGTGAAGTAAGACTTTTTGCCATTAGAAGGTCACTGTTAGTTTAGTTGCTTTCCTATTTTGTGAGGTTTTGTTATTTTTAAACATTAATAAATCAACACGTAATGAAGCAAATTTCAAATTTTTTTGCACGGTTGAATAGAGAATAAAACCCCCTTTCAAATGAGCTATCACTCACCACCCCATGCCATTTAAATTTTTCGAAAGGGTTGCTCCCCTCCAGTAAAGGATGAAATTAGAGGTAAACTAATCATACAAAAATGTACATTGTAGAAATCAAAAATCGACCTGTCTCGGCAATTTTCCTAAGAAGACTCCAGTAATGAGTTAGATAGGGGGGTAAGACTTATGGTGCTCACTGTAGAGCGTAATCCACAAAAACTGGCCTACTTTAATGTAATATTAATACTGATACATCCTAAAAATTTAATGTTTCTTTTATAAAAATAAACGAACATTAATGAAAATGGATGACGACAAACGATGTTAATGAGACTGTTTGCCTAGAAAAACCAAATGTTTTATTTGACGTGGAGAAGTGCATGATTTATCAGGCTACAGACAGTAACAAAACAGTTACCACGCTTGTTAATGGAAGAAACAGAGAACAAGAAGCAGCCGCCATAAGAGATGACTTAGTTGTAAAATGGCTGATAATTGAGGCTTCTGAAGTTGTGTTTGTGTAACAAACCAGTGCTATAAAATATACATATACTTTAAAAAAATATCGTGAAAAAATAGCAGCAGAAAAGACTAATAGTGAAGTACGTCTTAGAAAGTGAAGAAGACCAAGCCAGTGATGAAATCTCTAGGAAAACAAGATCATCTATTGTACCACTAGAGCCTCCTTCATCAATTGTGTGTCCAACACATATTCGATGTATTCTATGTGGGCATCAAAGTCACTCGTGTGGCAGATCTGGTGCAGATTTAATGTACCACAAAGTTTGTTTGAAAGCATATTTAGGAAAATATAAGTATGAAAAATGTTAATGAAAACTATTTAACAAAAAGACGTGGCATTTAAAAAAGGAATGGAAATTATAGGCCGTAAGTTTAAAGAAGGATATGTCTTCATACTAACGAAAATATATATTTTTTTAAATGAATTGGCTGGTGAAAACCTAATTAGGAACGACGAAGTGAAATCAACACTTCAAAGACATTGCGAGGATGTTATGTTGGGAATGGGCTGTTAATACACTGCGACCTAAAAGCTCTGTTGTGTTTCTTCTGTCGATAATGCAGCAAGAAATGCCTATAATGACCTTTCCAATCCTATCTTCTCAAGGAAGTCTAGGATTTGGAGTGCCTTTAAGTTAGGCAAATCTTCCTCTTCTGTTTGATATGCTCCTAGGAATAGTGCCCTTGTATTTTGGAATACTACACATTCAGTCAGAATGTGAATGGATGGTTTGTCCTCCTCACTATCTTCTGCTACTCTCAGTTTACTAAGGTGTCCTTCGGGTCGGCAATGCTCAGTAAGGATCCCTGATACAATACGTAGCCTGTTCCTGCTCAGGCAGATACAGGTTTTCGATATTTCCTGATTATGTCATATTAAATATTTGGTTTAGTTTGGCGAACAGTTACCAGTCTCATTCCCATCCTTTTCTGACCATCAATTTTCATCAATATTATTTATCTTTATTAAATGAGCATTTCAGTTTTTAGTATGTACCTATCAACATAAATATTACAGTAAAGTAGAACATTTTTTAAATTTTAGATTACGCCCTATAAAAGTTTTATTACCTATTCATTTTCTTTAATACATAGCAGTCGGGCAACTTTACAAACCATCTTTATTGGTTCTTTGCTCTTAAAAATATATATTTAGACACCTATATGATGAGTATGACTGTCACAGGAGCAGAAATATAAATATACAACACAAAATCGAAATTGGCCATTTTAAAAACACCCGGCCTAGAATTTAGTAATATCTACTAGACTGAGCCAAAAAAATTGACTATTTTTTTTTTTGAAAAATATATCGAGAATGTCATTCAGAATGACAAAAAAAAAATTCGTGAAAATTTAAGCCCTTAATATTAATTTTAAGAGGTCTATCGTCGCTATTTTTGATTTTTAGTCATAATTTGATGTTTTACGTTAGAACTGTCAAAAAATTAGAATGCAAACATTCTTTATCACTTATTTTGATACAAAATTAAATTCTCTACAAAAAAGGTCTGATTGAAAATGTTTGTCAGACGAGCCGTTTCCGATTAATTGAGCTTAATAAATCGATGTATTTTTTCGATTTGCCCTTTTTATTTTGAAATTCTGTAACTAATGAACCAATGAATATTTAAAAAAGCTCATGTCGGATTCTTCAAGGGAATTTCATGTTCTACAAAAAATCATTTTCAATAATGAAACTAAATAATTGTTTACCCAAAAATTACTTAAAGATAAGAAAACTACGCTTTTATTGAAAAATAATTGATATATATATATTGTGAAATTGATATATTTTCGTAATAATTTGCTTGAAATAATGATAGACATTGAGATTTGTGACGAATAATGTTTAATAATGATCGAAAAAGTGAATTTCTTCCGTTAAGTGAAAAAAATTGAGTTAAGAACGGAAAATTTAAAATTTCAATTTTTTCTTCGGTTTCAATCGTGAATAACTTTTGAAAAATTGCATTTAGGCAAAAATGTTAAGAGACCTTTTTTGTAGAACATGAAATTCCCTTGAAGAATCCGACATGAGCTTTTTTAAATATTCATTGGTTCATTAGTTACAGAATTTCAAAATAAAAAAAGCAAATCGAAAAAATACATCGATTTATTAAGCTCAATTACTCGGAAACGGCTCGTCTGACAAAAATTTTCAATCAGACCTTTTTTGTAGAGAATTTAATTTTGTATCAAAATAAGTGATAAAGAATTTTTGCATTCTAATTTTTTGACAGTTCTAACGTAAAACATCAAATTATGACTAAAAATCAAAAATAGCGACGATAGACCTCTTAAAATTAATATTAAGGGCTTAAATTTTCACGAAATTTTTTTTTTGTCATTCTGAATGACATTCTCGATATATTTTTCAAAAAAAAAAATAGTCAATTTTTTTGGCCCAGTCTAATATCTACCCAACTTTTTCTGACTCTCCTATATGTACTTCACTCGTTATTGTTGGTTAGATAAATCGGTACTACCATTTTTACGGAACTCCAGTACAAAGACAGGAATATTTCTACAATCGGTGCATGAGATATGGAATAAAGTGATTCTTATTGGGCCACTCGGTACATATAGAAATTTGTATACCTTGTGAGTTAAACGGGTGTGTGGTACAACTTGCAAAAGTATCGGAGCTGTCCATGCTGTTCAAGTCGACGCTGTTGACGTTGTTCGTTTGTTCGACGTCCAATTCCGGGAAACCAAATTGATTCATGTATTGCTCGGCAGATTCCTTAAGAAGCCTCATCTCGAGACAAACGGGATTACGGAAATCGCTGCTGGTCAGTGGCATCAGGTTTTCGGCGTCCACGTTTTCCTTAAAGCCCTGGCGAATAAGAGGGATGAGTAGAGTTATACGGTTTGGATTAAAAATGATGTCAGAGGTTGGAATAAATGAGATTTGGCCAAAGTTGGCGGGTCTCCTTATTTTTATTATTTTACCTCTATGCATTTTGGCTGATTTAACAGTTAATCAATTTAATACAAATTAAGAATGCAATTAAAATATTCGCATAAGTGTTAACGCTGCAAAGACTTATCTAGTTTGTTTTTAAAAATATTAACATTCTTAGTATGTATATATGATGGTAAGCTATTCTATGTGTGAATACATAAAAATAATTTTCTAGCATTGTATTTGAATTTTTAATTTGTAACGGTGTTTTCAGTCAGTCATCATTGATCAGCAGGTTCCCGTAATTATATTTTTGAATTCTAAATATTAGAATAAGATCTCCCCGTAGGCGACGTTGATCAAAGATAATATTTACCACCTTGAGAGCCTTTCGGACCAAATGTTATTCTAGTCACTCATCGTTGTACATTTGCTAATAGTATTTTTGATCCAACAAGATCCGGATTCCAAACAGTAATGGGTCTTACATGTGAGCTGTAGAGTTCGATGAGCGACTGAAAGAAAATCTTTTTTCAACAGGTATAATATCATGTTCGCGCCTTTACAAATGTTGGAAATGTGCTCTGTTTAAGTCTAAGTTAGATTACAGCTTATAATAACACCCAAGTCATTATAAGAATAAACTGAGTTTATAGCGGAATTATTAATGTTATATATTAGTCTTGGATTGTTCTTACCACTATGCATGTGTGTACTCACACAGTTTTTTATATTTAAGGTGGATATAGAACCCCTTATAATTTTCGGATATTTCAAAAAGTAATTATGTTAAAAAATAAAATTTTGGAAAAATAAATTATGTAATATTTTAAAGTTTTAAATGCTTTCAGTTTCCGAGAAAAAAAAATAAAGAGCTTTAAATTTTGAAATATCATCAACAGCACTATTCTTAATATAATCCTGAAATTTAGGCTCTTAATATTTTGTTAATGATTTTTTTTAAATTTGCCAAAATTAGTGGCTAAAACGCCTCGTTAAGTGCTGCCTTCTGGTGTAACGCTCCTGTAATTATCGTATCGTACACTCTCAGTCGTTATTCCTTTCTTGCAACGATTTACACCAGTTTACACCAGAAGATAGTACTTAACGAGGCTAAAAGGAATTAAGCCTTTTTGCCATTCCCAATGTCAGAAAAGGATCTTGCTCCAACGTGGTCTTAACAGCATCGTCATCGATTAAAGATGGTCGCCCAGAACGTGGCTTATCAGAAAGGTCAAAATCACATGTTTCAAATTTTTTCTTACCATCTTCTGCATGTTCTGTACCTTCACCAAACACTTTCAATAAATTTGTACATGCTTCTGTAGTATTTCTTTCTTATTGAAATTCGTATAAAACACAGTGGCGTAAATGAACTTTATGAGTAGCCATGGATATACGATCGCTTCACACGTAAGACTAACGTAAATCAACGTTATTTCAGTCCATTTATTGCGTCAGTATGTATACATTAAGCAATAACAATAGAGAGTCGAAAATGGGCCAACTACACATGTGCTTACGTTTCGAAACGAATACAACTTTCCGATAAAGATATTTCGGGCCACCGAGTTGTACCACGAAACATCAGGTAGATAAAATCCTACCGTCTAGTTCTACCACTAAATTGCTCGATAGGATTAACCCGCGATGGCTCCGGGCGGTATAGGTTAGGTAAATCATTTAAGTTTTTTTTAATTTTAATAATATAATTATCATATTTTTGTAAAACGGGGTCTTTTAAAGTTTTTGTTTTAAATCTATATATCTAAAGTAAGGCAGAGCGTGAAAAATTTCAAAAAAAATACGTCAGGGAGCGCCAGATAGACATTTCAGCTGATTAGATTTTAAAATAATCAAAAACTATTTTTTTTTTAATAATAATTTATGGGTGTTCAAAGTATCCCCACGGTCGAGGTTACTTTGAACACCTATAATGAAACCATGTGATTTCAATGTAATCTCTCAAATATTGCTTTTTTGAAAACGTCAAAACTAGAAAGTTCTTGTTTCAGAGAAAGACACAATTTACAGTGTATTTTATTACTCAAAAACAGTATAAGGCACTTATTACAACAAGTTATATGGTTTATGTGTCTCTTTAAAAATCCCAACGCCCACTCCTTGGATGGATAATTATTTACGGACGGGGAAATATTTTTTCAGGCCTTCGAGAGGTAATAAAAGATCAATTTTCTTGTCTCTTAAATCTAACAGGAAACCACATTATTCCAAGGTCTAAGCGTTTTTAACAATATTAATGTTCACCTCCTCTGTGAGACTAAGGAGTGGCCAAACTTATTGGTATGCTTTACTCGTAGTTTGTGATTTAGCCCTAATGAAATTCCATGTTTTTAGATGCTTCACGCAATTACTTTTTTTTGTATTTTATTTCATGAAGAATTTTCTTTAAGACGTTTTTAGTAAAAGAGGCATATTTTATTGTACCAGGTTTTCTTTTGCACGAGCGGACCATTAATTCATTGGTAACCTGGGGCTTCATTGAATGCTTCAAAATAACCTCGAAAAAATTATCTAAGCTCGTTGTTTTGATAAAAAATTTATAAACAAAAGGTGTATTGAATTATGTTAAATTTCTTTAACTTTGTTAGGATACCGTATTGTTATAGCCAATACATTTTGTAAGTTGAACGGAAAAATGATCAAAAGTCAAAAGGTCAAAGGGAAAAATGATCGATCAATTTGATTGATCGATCGATCGAAATTATAATTAATCGAAAGTACAAATCATCGAAAATACAAACTTTCGAAAATATAATTGGTCGAAAGTTCAAATGATCAAAAATACAATTGGTCGAACGTAAAAAAAAACAAAAGAAAAGAACAATCATTCAGACGCAGAGGAATTATACATAAAATAAGGAAAAGTAAAAACAACTTAATCTGTAAGACCTGGAGCTGTCGCGGGTTGTCCTAGTTTGTTGAACCGCTTTTTCGATATGCAGCGCTATTTTATTAAACGCTATTCGGTCAGGCTAGGCGCTGTTTTGTTATGCGATACTTTGAGTAAGCAACAACTAATTTACCATTATTAATAACTCTTTACCTGTTCTTAGTTTTCTGTGAGATAATCTCGCTAATGATAGTGGAATTTTATTAATATATTTTTAAGTACTTTAACTAGTTAGTTTACTTTGTATATATATATTTATTAGACACCGAAATGTAAATTAGTCATATTTTAAAAAGAAGTGGTAGTTCAAAACAATCGTTCTGAAGAATTTTTAATTTTAATTTTTAAAATAAATTTCGTTGTAAAAATCAACCAAGTTTGGTTTCTCTCATTTAAACAAATGAATCAATGAACGGACCCCAGTAAAAACTTAATTAGTAGTAACATACACAGTTGATACTCACTGAAACTAAAATCACTAACCGCAAGTAAATAGTTCACTAAGAGTAGGTCATCTAAAAATGAATTAAAGTATTCACTGACCATAGGTATTTTAGAAATCTCGTTTTACTTACCATAAATAGACATTTTATTTGTCTCATAGAGTATACAACTTGTTATTCGCAATAAGGAAAAGTTAACAGTTAGTAAATTTTTTTGTGCTTCTTCTTGAGTACATAACAGCTTTTACTTTACAATCTCGGCACTAGTTTTTTTTTGGATTCTGTATTTTATAAATTTGTTTAGTTGTCCAACTCTCTACTAATTGTTTTGGAATTCATTCGAAATCAATGGCAAATTGTCAATTCTTAAATTATTCTAATCAATTTTATAGTTTTCTATATTAATAAAAATGGAGAACCGCCAAATTGTCCTGATGTTATCGAGAAAGATTGCATTTCTACGCTCGATTGAATTTGACTGATTGATATTCTAAAAATGTCTATCGTATCGATGCTTCTACGAACTATGCATTCATGCTCTCGTGAGTGTGTTACTAAAGATAAGACCTTAGGAAAAATGGAGTTGGAATACGTACGACAGAGAATCAATAGCTTTGTATGTATATAGAATGTTGTTATGTTTAAGACTGACAACATTTTACAGATACAAAAAATCAAAAACATTGTTCTGCAATTAGATTAAAAACGTTTTCATCCAATTTGGTATCTATCAAAGTTCCAATTTTTTATAAATAGTACACTTTCAAGCTTCCCTTTTACTATTTTGTATTTTACGAAGATAGTCTGGATTTGCAACTTAAGTAAGGTCCGATTAAAATAACAGCTGTGCCATCACTTAGTGTCTCGTTTGGCTATATCCGCCTACTAGGTTTAAAGGCATGTTGTTAATATTATAGGAATAAAGGAATTAGTTTTTTAAACTGAACAACTTACTAATATTGATAGTTATAGATAGTACTATTTTAAATTTGATATATTAGTTATGGTGTAGCGTTGTTATTTTGTTAGTCTATATCAGCAAACACCAGGAAGATCAACTACAAAAACTCTACTACCTTATCTCGCCAACTAACCCAAATCGAAGCATTTATTAACCCTGATCTTTGCCTTCTTACATTAATAATAGAAACAAGGCATCAGGAAAGATGAATGACAAATAGCCTAAACCAAAACGACTTAGTGTTACAGTGGATCCATTTCGTAGATAACATAGTAAAACACCAAAGGCACATGACTATACACAGAGTGAGTCGGTGAGTCGCAGCAGCCCTTTAATACGGATGGTGGTATACCGTCAGGACCTGCATTTTTAGTTGCAACTAGCTAGACGTTTAATTTTGGATGATACTTCTTCTACTGTAAATGTATGGAGATATAAAGTCGATGAAAATGGCACTGATGGAACTGAAGTAAAATCGGTATCGTCTTTTTTTGTGTAAGCATTGGCTATCTTTGAGATCAGATAGTTCAAGGTTCAAGGGACTGTTTGAAAGCTTTCAAAAAATACGACCAAAAGAACTTAACATTTTCAAGGATCAGATAACAGAACCTAT